ATTAAACAGAACAAGGAGCACCCGACTTCGTAGCCAGCTTTTCGAATCGTCGTTTTCCCCCGCCTTCACGTATGCGTCAGAAACCTGGTCGTTACATAAGTAGGATGAAAGATCAGTCAGCGTTATAAAACGCGCACTCTATGGACAATTCTAGGAGCATGCTGTATCACGCAAGTGAGGGAAGGCATCCGAAGTTCCGATCAACGTCAGCGATCAAAAATTGAAGACGCATTCTATATTCTATACACCAAATCGTTGAAGATAAGGCGAAGCAGACATGATGCGTATGAACCAAAACCGATGAACAGGTACCGTTAGTGAATGAATTACTCGGGATATCAGACGCACTGCAGGATGATCACCAACCCGATGGTCAGAGTTCTTCACGAAAACCCTAAAAGAAAAATTTGGTGCTCAACGAGTGTTAGAGCGAGCGTAACCTATTAGGTTGCTCTCGCACGCGACAGGCAGAAATGAAACATTTACTGATATCAGCTCAATTCACTCAATGATCAATCGTGTGGAGAAACTCGAACCGGTGAGTTCAGAGCTTATGCGGTGCATCTCCAAATTGCGAGTCTGGCCTTCATACCAAGGTCAAAGGCGTCCACGTGCTAGCTCCGAGAAGCAGGTTAGTTCAGGAGATGACGATGAGCACCTTATTTTTCCCCAGTCGGAATGAGCAATACCTCCTTCTTGTGCGATCGTCTTCTGCTCGTCAATTCGGTGAAAAGTCTTCAATAGTAAGGCAACCGGGAAATGCGTTGGAAGCGATTCTGGATCACCTTCTGCATTAGCCGGAATTTCAGGGAAAGGTAAAGCTGGAATTAAAAACGGTACTTAGAAGCTTTAGGAAACTTAAGGAAACCAAGGAATTCCATGACAAAAGCTTACAAACGATCAGTGTCTGACCTCTTGATAGGTCAGGAAAGAGTAAACGTCTTATACGAAATTTGTAGGCTCTTTGTCTCTATTACGCGAAAAAAAACCCAGTAGAGGGATTTAACGAGTTTTAGAGACAAAAAAATTTTACAGGGGATTCGGACAGATTTTGAGGCAGTCACAGGTTGATTCCAAAAAAGGAAAAGAGAAACAAGTAAATACTTAACTGAATTGCAATAGAAGAAGCGCGTAAGCGATACATAATTCTTCTTGATTATTACTCTCAATAATTTCCTTTAGGCTAGATACTCCTTGCAATGTTGATCCCTTAAAGGTCCTATTAACAAATGCCAAGACCGAATTTAGCTTAGCTTTAGTATTGTTTAATACTTCACTGTTTTTCTTGATAAGCAAACACGGGTTTGTTATCACAGTATTTACCGATACATAATATTAGCCTGTAACATATGAAATGTCCGATCTTAAATGTGCCATGACTTATTTCGTACTAAGTTTTATTAATCGAAATAGGTCCGCTAGAATCAGCACATCGTTTCCACAAGGATCAAGCTTATTTATTCCAGATGCATAAAATTCTGGAGTTCTGGAAGCGATGATTTCGTTGAAGGTATTTTTTACGTCTTCATAGTTGGTGAAGCATTCATCGCCCAGGAAGTTGTCAAGTTGCTTGAAGAAGTGGTAGTCGGTAGACGAGATATTTGGCGAATATGGCAGATGAAGCAAAGTTCCATAGTTCAACTCGTTCGACTTCTGCAGCGTTGGTTCCGCAATGTGATGCCGGGCGTTGTTATGGAGAGTGACTGGTCATTTTCTGTTGAGTAATGACGGTCGTCGTTGTTGGAGTTTACGGTGCATTTCATCGATTTATTGGCAAAACATCTTTACCGTAATCGTTTCGCCCGGATTTAAAAAGCTGTGGTGAATAAGGCCGGCTGCAGACCGTCAAGCAGTCACCACTACTTTTTTTGGTGCAATTTCGGCTTTGGATAGCGCTGTGGAGCCTGATCGCAATCCAGTCATAGAGCTGAACGTCGCTGGTTGTCGTACAGAATCAAAGGGTCGTTTGTGCTGCGCAGAATAAGAGCAAACGATACTACAAAACAAAGATTTCTTTGATTGTCGTTTAATTCGTGCTGCATCCACTTGGCGAGTTCTTTTGTATTACCTATGCGATTCGAGTGAGTGAAAATTGTTCGTCTGCTCAAGCCAAGCTGTTCTGCAAGCTCTTGAACAGTTGTTCGCGTGTTCGCTCCCACTTTTGTCTTCAATTCGTCGTCGGCAAGTTCACTGGGGCGTCCGCGGCCTTCCTTGTCTTCGAGGTCGAAATCACGAGATCGGAATTTCCAGAACCACGTTCACACTATCTTAACCTTTTTATTTACTGTCTATTATTTTTAACGGCAGTGTGTTTTGAGAAATATAACTACTGTAATGCTGAGATATTTGCAAAACTCCGGACCGCAGGTATCTGCGGTAAGGAAATGCTGGTTTAGGCTCCGAGATCAGTCCCGTTGACGGGTGATTGCTGATGGTAAAAGATTAATAGAACTAGCTGAGAGACAGGCAAAACGAAGGACCCGGATGGTGTGGTGGTGCGCGCGTTACTCCCTTAAAAGGACAATAGTGCGCTCGTTCCCCACCGCAGCCATCTGCGGTCTGGAGTTTTGCAAATACCTCAGCATTATTGTAATCATGTTCACACTGTTTACTCACCAACACTACCCCTACCCCAAACTTGGTGATATTCCGAGCTCCAGCAGCGGCATAATGTCCACTCTTCCACTAGTGCAAAAAAAGGACACGAATATCACGTTGATTCATACTAAACTTAAAGCCAATAGAAATGTTAAAAGTAATAAATCTTGAGAAAAGCAATATCAGATAGAAAGAGCAGACTCTGTGTTTCAAAGATATTTATTAGACATACATAAAGAACAAAACATCTATTTAAGAAACTACACGGCGAATTAAAACAATAAAATCGGACATTTCATACGTACCAGCCTAAAAATGACGCCTCGGTGGTTTCGCTTTCTTCAGAGCCGTCTTGTTGTCCTCAAGTAAGACATCATCGTATTTGCTCATCAAGAAAAACAGTGAGTTATTAGTCATTTTGATAACTGATTCCTCTGAATTCAGTTGATTAGTAAGTGAATATGTACAGTGGACAATTAAAGAGACTGTAGACGTCGAAACGTTAGACGAATAAACATCTCATATCAAAGTCGTGTAAGTTCAGCAATGTAAACAAATGTTGATTCTTATAGCACTCGATGCTTGAACGGCCCGTCCTCACTAGTTCTGCGGGCCCCGGCATAATCGCCATTTTTCGGAGATTTGCTGGTTAAGCCATTGTGGTTCCCTGGAATCCTGAGGACAGCCTGGCCAAACTCTGCTCCAGGTCTTAACCACCACAGGTAGTCGCAGCCCTTGTGGATCAGAGGGAGATTTACCACCATGCGATTTTGATACCAGGACGGTAGTTGGTCCTGGTATTGGTTTACTCTTAGCTAGGCTTCGCGATGGAAACGCCAGACTCCTTCTCAGCTTGGGAGACCCTGCCGAGGGGACGAATCCCCGCTGTACATCACAGTCCGACACCCAGGAATACCTATCAGCCATGATGAGGCGGTAAGCCGTTGGGGGAATTGTTAGAGTATCAAGATTAAATGACGGTTGGTTTTAAAATTATTGTTAACCCTATTGACAGTATTTTTACTGTGCTGAAAAAATAAAATATTACTGCAAAACAAAATGGAAAGAATTAATCAGAAATACGTGCCCTCACTACTTATTCGCTTACTCACCGGAAAGAGGAGGCCCTCCGAAACGTTAGCTGTTGAAATAAATAATATACAACAACCTCTTGTCTGCTGGTCAGAAAGTGAAGTGAGAAAGGGAGGTGATTCATTAATGCTGAGTTTAATAGAAGGTAGGTCTTGGAAATTAATTCATCGCAGTCGAGAAGTACTATAGAAATTAAGTTGGGATTGATAATAGTCTGAGGAATTGTGTACAGCATGTGGACAGCCATTTGGACTACTAATTGAATGTAGGTGGGTTTTTCTCATTCTTTTCTTACAATTTCCACATATAAATTCAGAACTTGAAGTGCAGTGGTCAGAGATGCTGATACAAGTATTCACTGGTTTAAGCCCATTTCGGACCAAAGCCTCCCACTTCCTCGAAGTCGGACAATTGGCAAGAGATATGTTGAGAATTCGCATTTTGACTCATAAACGTTGGCGACTGCCTGTAGTGAAGACCTCGGAACGCTCTAGCACAGCTAATCTAGGATTACAGGATTAATCAACTCGATCAGCATTCAACAATTTTCATAAAGGAGACCAAAAATTATCATAGAGAAGGGGAAATGCTGCAAAAATCGGGAGACCTTAATGGATGACGGATGCGAGACAGCGATTCGAATGAGAGCGCTGGGATCGACATGGCTTGATTTCGGGCTATGTAAATGAATAAATAGCTAATCTACTTCTATTTCATTGAAACTGTTTAAAAAGTGTCCTTGGCTGAAGCGTTCAAAACAAAGAAGTTTAATTCCTACGACTGACTTTCTATTAACCCCAGCATTGATCAAATAATTTTTTATACTCTTGTTGAACAAAAGCTAGGTGATTTTATTCTTTATACAAGAACATGTTGACGTTTCGGCGGATTTCACCTTCCTCAGAGCCTGGAGAGGTCAAGTTGACCGCAATCTATCCAGCCAAACACTTCCATAAGCAGACAGAGAAAATGCTAAACCAAGATTTCAATCACATTGAACAGAGAATGGCTTCATCGCATATTCATCGCTTTCTATGAGTCTTTCACTGTATATGTCACGTGGAGACCAACTGCACGGAGTTTCCATGGAAGCGTAATGTGCTTCTTACATCAAAACACCAGTCTTAAATACTGCCCGACATCACACGTTATTATGCGGCATTCCTCCCTGCAGTTCATTTTCATATTCTGGGAATTAATCCAGAAAGCCTCAATAATTTTGCGCGATTGTGTTTTCGGAAAAGTTTAATCAAACGTGTTTTGTGCTCATTTAGGCTCCGTCCTATTTTGAGATCTGTCTCATTCTGACGATGAGTATCCTAGCTGTGACATCCGCAATGTTGATTGTTGGTATTAATCGATTTAATGTGAGCTTAATGTATCCAACATTACTCGCTCGTATGTTGTTTATCATTTTTGTGCAGGTTTGTTCCAGAGACTTGGCTTATTCAATCTATTGTTAACGCTTGTGTGCTCAGACGCTACCGCTCTGGACTTCATTTTAGGTTTTCGGTGTGTCAACTGTTGTCGCTCCGCATCGAACACATTCACGATGGGAGTCGTATCGAGAGAAGACGGTAAGGATTTCTTTCAAGTGGACTTGGAGTTTCTTCTTAATCGCTCAGATTTATCTACACGCTCTAGATTTCAACTGATAGGGAAATATACGAGTGAAAGCTCAATCTCTTCCAGTAAGGGAAATGTTGTTATTTGGGGTGAATAGGCTGATGTGAAAAAGCACAGTTACTGGTTTGATGTGTAAGTCAGGGTAACATTAATATATGCTATGAAGTCTTCAATATAACTTGCTTACTTACTTGGGTACTTGGATGGCTCGTCTTCGTTGGTTATGCGGGACCCAGAATAATTTTCATTTTTTCGGAGTTTTACTGGTTTAGCCATCCGTGGTTCTCTGGCGTCTCGAAGTCAGCTTAGCCAAAGTCTGCGCCTGATCGTCACTACTCTAGGCAGTCGCCGCCTTTGTGCATCAGGGAGATTTGTCACCACCAGGCTAGTTTGATACCTGGAGAGTGGAAAACCGTGGTATTGGTTTACTGTTACCTCGGCTTCTGATAGAAACTCGGACTCATTCTCAGCTTGGGGGACTTAACTGGGAAAATGAATAGCAAGTTGACTCCAGCCGCTTTTTTCCGTTTGATCTGTAATTCATCTACTTATCGCATAACTCGTACAATCACAATAAATTCCATTCGTCCATGTAGCGCACAACGGTTGCTCGGTCTGTTCAAATTGCTCAATGAAAAGCATGAAGAACATAATACTTTTGATAAGATTCCCTTTCATTGCTGTTTTGACGAGAATGTAGCCCTTGATAGCTCTCGTAGTACTTTGTGATTGTTATGACATAGGCTCTTTTTGCTGTGCGTTCAGATCCATAAGTCGAAGCAAATCTGTTTGACTGACTCTTCTAAGCGATCAGCTCTTATTATAGGCCATATTTCAAAGTCCTGAAACATCCCCGGCAATGGTGAGGAGATAACCCATTACGGTATATGAGTGCCTGAATAATGGAATAATAATAATAATCAGTACAAGGAAAATCACAACTTGGCTGATTTTCAAGTCTGACTTCTTTACAAGTAAATTATTGTTGGTTATTCTCAAGCAAGGGTTATATTTCGATGAACACATTAAGAAGAACGATTCTTAAGATCACAAGAACTCATCCAGTATATTTTGTACCACAAACGGAAATATTACTTACCTTCACTTTCTTTGATGCATAGATGGCCCGTCTTCACTGGTTATGCGTGTCCCAGCACAAATCTCATTCGTTTCTGTCTCGCGCAATCGTTGGCCATGGTGTTGGTCAACTGCGAACATGGTGACGTTTGCGAGGCTCCATTCCTAGTCCTGAAATCGTTCCCACCTAGGAATACAAATGGTTAGCCATGAACATGCCCATTCATCGTTTGCTAGGTCCTCCAAGAAGACCTTTACATTCTCATGGAGTACGCCTACATTACATAATTCATTCTAATTTTTTTATAAAACCTATGAAATCATGCAACTCATACTTTACGCCCCACACGGCATATTTTTCTTTCCAAAGCGCTCCAACTTCAATATTTCTTCTTTAATCCTTTCTAGATGTCTATTTTTCATCTAGATTCATCTATATTTTTTCACAATTGTTACCATCATTCTTTTCCTAACTATTCAGCTTACATCTGACCTTATGTATCTGTTCTCTTCGCGAGAGAAAATGTATTCAGGTGTTGCCTAAGTGAAATGGTATTGTGAAAAACAAAATGCTTCAAATATAATGTTATCTTTTTACTCGTACGAAGTGCTGAGATACCTGCAAAACTCCGGACCACAGGTGTGTGCAGTGGGGAACGAACACGCGCTGTTGTCCTTACCGGGGAGCAGCGCACTTCACCATTACACCATCCGGTGACCCGGCTGTTCCCCACTGCACTCACCTGTGGTCCGGAGTTTTGCAGGTATCTCAGCACTTCGTACGAGTTATATTTCGCAACATACCCTGCCATTAAGAAGAAAAAGGCAGTAAATAAAAGAGTTAAGGTTAACTTTTTATTTACTGCCCATTACAATTATTCATGGCAGGTTATTATGTATGACTCAGCCACAATAACGCTAAGATATTCGCAAAACTCCGGATCACAGGTGCTTGCGGTGGAGAACGAACGTGGTATTACTCTTTCTGGAGGCTAACGCGTTCACCATCACACCATGCGGGTCCTTCGTTTCGCCTGTCTCTCACCTAGTTCTATCGATCGGGCCATCAGCAATTACCCGTCAATGGGATTGATCTGGAGAGCCCATCGGCAAAGAACCCAGTCAAGTTGAAGCTGTAGATCAATCCTGTTGACGGGTGAATGCTGCTGGCCTGATCGATAGAAATAGCTGAGGGACATGCGAAGCCAAGGACCTGCATGGTGTGATGGTGAACGCGTTAGCCCCCTGAAAGGGTAATAGCGCGTTCATTCCCTTCGTTTCCCACATCAAACACCTGCAGTCCGGAGTTTTGCAAATATCTCATCATTATTGTGCTTCAGACCCACTTTTTTCGAAGACAACTTTTTGAAGAACCATTTATTTAAGGAAGAGGAGCCGGAGTCGAATGTAGCGCTACGATTAGTGGTGCTTGTATTCGCCATGCTCATCATTACCATAATTGTACTTTACTGTATCTATCTGGTGGTACGTTGTATACAATATGTGAAGTACTACTGCCGAATGAAGGAACGCCGAGAGTCACTGATTCAAGCTGGTATGATCGGTGAGTATTCGATGATCAAAGTAAAAGAGAATGGAACCGGCCACGCAGTCCAAAACCAAAATAAACCCCTAAGTTGCGTCGCATTTTCGAATCCATTAAACATCGTGAAAGTGGTTCAACAAACTTTGGCAAACACATTGTCTTGTGGTCGCTTACTGGTGTATCAAGTCAGTGTCTTCTTCATCCCAGACAAATTTGGCACCAATTCGTCAATTCAGAATGGATGGAAGGTTTGTTTAGCAGGGAGTGAGCACCGTAGCAAAACATCCTTATATATGGTACGAGGCAACCCTATCCGCTGCACTACTCACATCTCCTCAAATAAAGTTGCAAACTACAATTATTATACAACACCAGACCAAATGAGTAGACAGGAGCTCTCAGTGGTATTTAAAATCAGTAATTTTATGCTGTTCATAGATCCAGACGCTGGCTCACGTCGAACATCGTCGTTGGCAGGAGTGGCGGCATTCTTAGCTGATCGTTAAGTTGAAGAAATGACCGGACCATCCAGTGACTTTGCTATATATTCCATTTTAAAGTACTGTACTAAATTGACCAAGCTATACCCATGTACTGGATCCGCTTTCAGTTTAAAGCCTTTAAGATCCACTGCACCACTGATTTTCGCACACTTCTTTCGTTCAAAGACCGTCAACGTCTTTTCGCATGACATGAACGAGCTAATAAATAGTTCAACTTCATTAGTTACTCTTAGAATGGTTCTAGAGAGCGAGATTAACTGATGCGAGTTTTCGTTCGCCTTTATTGAATTCATAAGCTCTACCTCATCGGAAATTACTTCTCAAGCATTTGTATACGATGTGCCTTTTTTTGCAATACAACATGAGGAATCAAACATAGCATACAACGTCATGTATGGCAACAATGAGTAAAATCGTTCAATAAACCAGCATATTTGATGCATTTGTATAGATATACAACTGTAGATATGCTGTAGATACACTTTAGATATAGAGAGATACCGTACATATACTATAGATATACAACTTCAACTTCTGCAAAACATTAACCTGGGCACGTCATTTGTACCATCTAAAAGCCATCTGCGGTACTAATTGCCAGTGTTGCCGGTACGGTACTGAATGTTTTGTCTGGCACTGTTTAAATGCGTTTTCCATTAAAAGAAGCGGTCTCCTCTAACCTTTACGTTCTTAAAGAAGTTATAAATGAGAACCACTTAAGATGAACGTTACTAATTTAAGACGAATTCCTCAATTCCTAGCACATACAGTGACGTTTAAACGCGTCTGCGTTCTCTCTATACCAGCAGATTACATGCCGCTATGAGTACTACCAAGCGCTGTCCAAAACAGTTCAACCCTTTCGCGACAACGCCTAACTTCGCGTTCTCGCTGAATGGACCACGGCTAATTTTTCAATATGCTCACTGTGACACCTATGGGTGTTTAAATGGCCACTCCTTTCAAAACCATAATGGCGTCTGTAGCTGTCATTCGCTGCTAGAGTACTAAACGCTGGCGTCGTCAAGGCCATTCATTATCACCGCTTGTAAAGCAGGAAAGAAAATGCCTTACAATATGTAGTAAGGATGAATGAATGAATGACGGTGTGCAAAGCTTTCAGAACTACCACAGCCTACAACTGTCAGGCATGCGTCTAAACTATGTACATCCGTAATCATGAGTGCTACCAATATTTCTGTTTACTGACAAACTTACTTTTGGAAAATCGCTTAACTGTTGCTGGATTTTGGAAAACACCGACCATCTTCGGAGTGACAATGATTCAATGCTAGTTCCCAAACACGGATTTCTTACTGTATCCGAGTTTTCATAAGTACGGTGTTCCACTCGATTCGAATCACTACAACGTTTAAAGATGGCAATGTAGCTGAATCGTCGGCCAAAAGAGTTGTTATGATCACTCATAAGTTCATCAATACTTGATACTTTGATGGCCCGTCCTCACTTTGTGCAAGCCCCAGCATAATCTCCAGTTTTCGGAGCTTTACTGGTTTATCCACTGTGGTTCGCTAGAATCTCGGGGTTAGCCTAGCCAATGTTTGCCACAGGTCGTCACCACCACGAGCAGTCACCGTCCTTGTAGACTAGAGGGAAATTTGCCATCTTGCGACTACTGTGATACCAGGACGGTGACGGATCCTCGTATTGGTTTACTCCTAGCTGGGCTTCCTGATGGAAACGCCGGACTCCTAAGCATGGGAGACTCCGCTGGGAGGACGAATCCCCCTCTACACATCTCAGCCTGGCACACATGAACACCTCTCAGCCACGACGAGGCGATAAACCATTGGGAGGTAAGCTCATCAATAAACGAGTTATTGAGTATTTATATTGTTGGATCACAGCCGACTTTAAGACGCATACTGAAGTGTTAATACCAACAAATGTTCGCCAGCATTCGGAAGGAATCCAAGGCGCATCATTCGAAAATTATTTAGGAACTATTAGTTTTACCCTTCATTTATTAAAAGAAAAAAAAAGCAGAAAAAATAAATAGGTTCCGAATAAATTCGAACCAAATGAGATCAGATATTTACAATACATAACTGACTAGAACGTCATGAGAACACTACTGCAATTTTGAGATCACATAGCAGTAATACAGACATTGGTTAAACTGTGATGAATATCAAGTGAATGGTAACCACATTGCGTGCATTGTTGTACCAAATATGAGATAAACCATCAGATACAAATACAGGAGAAACTCTGGGAGACCTCGACGACAAAAATATGTGAGAAAAGGGAGAGGCTGTGGAACAAATAAGTCGGACAGGCGTACCTAAAAATATCAACAAAGCTAAACATTCGAATATGTCCCAAGACCGACTCTCTACTAACTCGGCATTGATCAATAATTTAGTGTTTTTCTTCAATGAGCAAACACGAGGTTGGTATTATAGCATTTATTAGGACACAACAGCTGATGTTTAGGTGGTTTAGCCCTATTCATGCCCTGGAAAGGTCGATCTACATGCAATCTACTCAGCTAAACATCTTCATAACCTTAGCAGATAAGACTTAATAAATAGATTTGCATTCGCATAATAAACAGCTCCTTTCAAACGCACATAAAAACAGTGAATCATTCGAACATAATTCACTACATTCTTTATACGAAAACATGGAACGTTACGCTATTCTTTATTGACGGAAAAGCTGACATTTCGGCGGATTTCGCCCCTTCAAAGCCTGGAAAGCTCAGGTTGACTGTAAATCTATCCAGCCAAACATCTACATAACCAAACAGAGAACATACTAAACCAAGATTTCAATAGCTTTGTAAACAAAATAGCTTCTTCGCATACTTGCTGCTTTTGTCTTCCACCGGATACTTCACTTGGAGGAGACGTGAGGTGCCTCTCTCACATTAAAACGTCTTAAAAGCTGTATATGATCTTGTGTGACAACGAGATATTCCTCTCTACTGTTCATTTTCGGATTCTTGAAGTCTACTTTTAATGCTTCAAAAGTTTTCCATTCCTGTGCGAGGATGGTAACCTTTACTTCAGAATCTTCCCCCTTATGTCTTTGCATCCTATGCGCGCCTAGCGAAGTATTTGGTTTGGCTTTAAGTTTATTGAATATCGTGTTCTTTTGTACGGATGCACAGTGGTCTATTCGTTTTGCCAATGTGTCCGTTCTCGCACGCTTTACAAGAGATCAGCTAAATCGCACCCGAACTCATGCAATCGCCGTACCGTTAGGGCATGTTACAAAATATTGCGTTCTACCTAGAATGTCATATAGACAGTCGCGTACTAGTCGACGTGTGCTCGTTGATATTACAATTATTGGTATCCAATTCTCTAGACCCGACCTTTTTAAACAACGTCTTATAGCCGCACTTATTTCGTTGGGAATGAAGAGCAGGATAAACGGGGTCTTATTCTCGCTAGAATTGTGGCTTAGGAACGTGTATTTCCTCTCCAGCTTCCGCGAAGAGCTATTGTTTCGTAGCCACAGGAAATGAGTATTTGCCGCGCCAATTTCAGGAATTCTTCCTTCTGCTCACTTCCTGTTCACACACTGTTTACTGTTCGAAGAATGTTTTTCACAAGCACCATTCTTGTGAATGGTAAGAAGACGTAATGAACTAGTGTGTTTTTATCACTTGGCTTTCCGTACCATTTGGTAATGTAGAATTTAAATTCGAACCAAATATTGCAGTGGTAGCGCATATACTATCCTCGCACAGGAATCGAATACTTGAGCGCGCAAGACTCTTGAAGCACTCCGGATAAAATCCAAGAATTCGAAAATCTACAACGAGGAATGCCTCGTAATCACGCGTGATCTCGCTTAGTATTTAAGACTGATACATAGTAAAAGAGGCACATTACGCTTCCATGTGAAATATGTGCGGTTGGTCTCCACGTGAAATACTCAATGAAAAGATCATAAAAAGCGATTAGTGCACAAAGAATCGGTTTTGTTTTCAATGCAATTGAAATCTTGGTTTAGTATTTCCTCTATTTTGGTTATGGAAGTGTTTGGCTGTGTAGTTTGCAGCCAATCAGGCCTTTTCAGGTATTGAAGAAGGCGAAATCCGCTGAAACGTCAGCTTTTACGTCAATAAAAAGTAAAACAATACCTCATGTTTACTCATCAGGAATGCAGTAAATTATCTGATCAATGTTGATGCTAGCAGGATGTCGGCCTTGGAAATTCGACTATGAGTAAAAAGGTGATAAACCATTTGTCTAAACGATTATTTTTCTGTAGGTAACAGACAATGGATTTCATTACTAATCAAATAAGATATATCTCCACCATATTGTATTTACAAACAAATTCCTTCCTAATTAATTGTCGTGTGAAACAAATACCATGCTGTTATTTTCCAAAATGAAATGGGTTACTAATGCAAGCGTCACCTTCGGTGTTATATCAGAAATCCATCGAGCCAGAACCAGATACGGAAATGGTGAGCTTGAGAACAAAACGCGGGTCAGCACCTACAAAGTCCATTTGAACTATTGCTAAAATAATACCTTAAATGGTATACAACTAACCTCTACATTATAAACAAATAATGCTCCAAATGCCATGAACAAAGCATGAAGTGTATATGGCACATGATCACCACTTTCGGCTAAGAGGTGCAAAAAACTTCTGAAAACGAAAAAAGTCGCAAATGTTGAGAATTTCGGCACATAATGAAACTTATTTGAGAAATACTGTAGAACAATCAGCCGTAAACAGATGTGGTTGCTAATTATAATGATTAGACCTGAAGAAAGTTCACCTAAAAAGTGACGGTAGATGTCCACAATGTGGAATTACGTTCACCAGGTTGGTTTCTGATTTCGTTCAATATCCTATTGAAGAAGGAAAGAAAATCCCAATGTGTACACACTCACTTATGTTCAGGAACCAAATTATCGACGACGCATACAAAACCGCTTATTTGACAAAGATTTTCGGAAAGAAAATTTTCTCTTCTTAGATAATTCAGCAACACAGTCACGCTGCATGTAATCGACAAAAAAAAAGTGAAGAGATAACGCACCTTTTCGACCAAACACGACACCAAGTTCTATAGGTACCGAATACCACGATAAAAAACGCTGGCCCCGCCATCAGGAAGCAAGGCACTTTAGTTAACTGCCAATACCCAAACATTGACACCTGCCAGTACTTCGATTGGATTGCAGAATAAAATGGTGGGAAAATCGAAGACGAAACGCTAAAGTTCGGCAATTATTCAATGCGTTTAAGAAAATAACGGAAACCGGAACGACTTCTACAAATATTTGATTTATTCACGTTTCGGAGATTTGAAAAGAATTGACACCAAAAAAGAAAAGTAGTTACTGACATCTTTTGCATAACCAACTGTCACACTCAATACTAAGGATAAAACAGCGTCGAGACCCATGAAAACCTACTTGCACCAATTAATGACATCGGTACGTCCAACTGTGACCAGACTGTGTTCCTTAGCAAAACGTTGCAGTGTTATTGGAACACTACCGGCAGACGCTAAAAAAGTTGTCACACTCTCGTCACACCCAAAGTGGTAAGAATACTGGTATCTAACAATGTAACAATGCAAAAAATCTAAGTTTTTTGGCTAAGGAATCTGATACTTTAAAAAATGATTACATATGTATAGCTCTCGGCGTTAATCAATCTCTGAGGGATGCACCATGCATTCAACTTCATTAAGCATCGTTGGATGTGATTGAATGCATATCTGGCCTTTACAATCACTCGCGGTGGCCTACCGATGTATCGAGCTAGTACTGGTATCCTCCCAGATAAGTCTGGTACTAGTTTGCCGACCCCGGAGGAATAGAGGGCTTGGAGAGCTTGGGGCGCGGAGAACGACCCCTTGTGTATTGCGAGGCGCCTCCGACCAATACGCGACACGCGCCCTTATATATAAACATACATGCATATATACATATATTCATACATATATATGTATATATACATAAACATATGCATATGAAGATAGAATCACATAAGATTCATTTTTAAATCAACACAGGTACAATTTATTAGGAATTCAGCACCAGTTAGCTCTAAGAGTAGAAGATGTATTTGCTAAAGACTACTTCCATCAGTTAAATGTAACACAAATGTGAGTAAAAAAAGGAAATACTTTATGTTATTACGAAGATATTATACTCACATTTCGAACAGAAGGCAGTTTGTTGGTGACGTCCGTGCACAAAAATGGGAAGCGAAACAGATAACGGAGCAAGTGTCACAAACAATGTAAACTTGGCCATCTAAATAAATACTACTAGTAAAACCAGCACAAAGAACAAAACAAGAGCGCAACTAATAAGGTTGTTGGACTGGAAAACACTAGTCATATCGAAATCAAGAACATACCAACTAGGTAAAGTAATGCAAAAAAAACCCACTTGCGAGATAATAGCAGGGAGACCGCTTTTGAAGATTACACGACGTCGTCTAGGATTTTCAGGATCAACGCTCAAAACAAACTCTAGTGCACAGAAAAACCACAAATAAGCTAGATTCAACAGACCATTAGATCTGTAAAAAAAAAAGCAATTCGCTCAAATGACACGATGGTCCGTTAGAACATCTTCAAGTTTTTGAAAATTTCTGTACACGACATGATTGATTTGAAGGGAAGAATTACCAGTGACAAACTCTGAGAGAGAGAAATGTCCAGACCTCAATATTTCTTCTGAAAAGATTTTATAGAACGTTTTCCAAAATTATCATTTACCGTGTAGCATAAGCCAGGCTAAAGCAAAGCAGCGAGCCTAGATAACGTATTAAAAATGTTGGTCGTTCTTCGAGAAGCAGTAATATTCCACAGAAAGTAAGGAGGCAATACAGCTAAAAATATAGAAAGTATAACGGAAGAGTTTTCCATAAATAACCAATACACATATGGATAACGAATAAAGCTTCTGGTGCTGACCCATCCCTGAGGGACGTGTCATGCATTCTACTTCATTAAAGATCGTTTGGTGGTGATTGGATGCATATCTGGCCTTTATAATGATTCGTGGTGGCCTACCGATGTGTCGAACTACCCTATACGCTCCCGTTAAGTAGTAACCAACATAACTATCATAAACGAACCGATTCAGCATACGCTGCTGAGAAGAATATAGAAGCAGGATTTGCCGAGAACAGCAACACGGCAATAACAGACTGTTTCACCGATTTCGAAATGCGTAGAACAATCCGATACAGAATAGCAGCAGAAGTAACAAAGCAGCCCTAAAGTTACCGAATGTTAGAGTAACTTCCACAATAAAAGTTCGTCAAAGTTGCGACGATGAAATCGTTATGAATTTTACAAATACCAAGTTAATTGCTACAGCTGATATTAATAATGCGGATGATACATGGATAAATCCCAAATGAACAAAGGGAGCTGCCCATGCCATTGACAGAACTCTAAAAGGATACCAATATTTAGCTCTTCTTCAAAAATACTCTAACGAATTCTGAAAAACCTATATAATGGATAGAATTTCATTTTCTCAAATAGGTACTACGACCATCAAAGATCGCGAAAATATACTTTAACGAAGAAAGAGATATAAAAGAAGACCATGAGAAATACTGAGACATTGTTTTTAAATTGTAGAGCTTACAAGAGGCTGACAAGTGAATTTTATTCGGCTAACGTTCCACAACTTAGTCTTCCTCAGAGTTTGAGTCGTGTAGCACAGTGTTCTTCGATACGATGACGAAAACACCACATCGAAAGTACGAAGGACTGCGGACATCGACTCGAATCATTAGCTCTGAGAAAGGCGAAGACGCCGGGATGCTAGCCGAATAAGATTTACTTACCAACCTTGTATAAGCTCAACGATTTAAACCCATGTTAATTAGTTATACTTAGGCTAAACGAATGTCGGTTTTTGAAATACTAAGACTTCGAGGAGCATTAATAAATACCTGACTGTCATCGGGTAGAACGGGAAGAAGGCAAGGCTGTTCTCGAAAACATATTCATGTTGCGCAATATGGAGCATATGGACTGCATCCCAACGTTTAAAACCGGAGAAAATTCGTTGAATAAAATAATCCAACCTCGATAACTCTCCTGCAGCAGTATAATATGTGCTCAGACTTTATGAAAACTACATTAGGGAGTCGTACTTTCCCTAACATACTGCTTCTTATAGAAGCACGTGTCTGCTCACAATTAGTCATCAAGGATGAGGGTTAGAAAAAAATATATGAACACAAAGTTCACCTTCGTCCACCGGTACACCTTTGAAAGCATCAGTAGAGAAATCCCAAGAATTGAACAGCAGTTGCAAAACAAATACAAAAAATCTAAAAAGCATAAACTCTAAAGACATTCAAATAGAACGTACATATCCTTATATCAAGGAATACAGCTACCATATAATGTCATGATTCATAATACTAACCGTATGCCCAGTACTTGAGCAAGTAAAAAGTCTTTGATCTGAGTCGGAGATGTGTCGAAAAAGTCGGTGGTATCACCATCATCAATCTTCTGAAAAGCAGGGATTTCCTATTTAGACACGACTTCCTCTCCTCTCAACGGTTGACCGATTCATCGCGGCTGAGAGGTGTTCCTGGGCTTCAGATGCGATATACAGCAGAGGGATTCATCTCCCAAACAGGGTCTCCCAAGTTGAGAATGAGGCCGCTGTTTCTATCAAGAAACCCAGCTAAGAGTAAACTAATACCAGGATCCACCACCGTCCTAGTATCAAACCATTCACACAGCGGGAAACTACCCTCTGATCCACAAGGGCGGCGACTGCCTGTGGTGGTGACGACTTGGGGAACACTTCGGCTTGGCTAATCTCGAGACACCAGGAAACAACAATGGCGAAAACAGGATAACTCCGAAAAAGTGGAAATTATGCTGGGGTCCGTACATCCAGAGAAGACTGGCCATCCAAGTATTCAAGTAACAAGAAAACGATTCAAGGCTCATCTGCGTGAACATTGTTTGCCATGACCAGTCGCATAGACCCAGGTTATATCACACATTATGAAGGAAACACACTGAATTAACCAAAAATTATGTCAACCCAAGAAGCCAAGCTTTTTAAGAAAGTACAGGATATTTAACAGTGTGGTAAAGATTTTACTCATCAAAACTTCTAACAATGAAGATTTGGCAGAGCTCCAATACCTCGTAAAGGATGAATAGTGGTACTGAGAAGAAATTCGAAAGCCAAGTCCACTTATCCATTGTGGTCGGTGTAGCACCACAGCCATCACCATTCATCACCAATTTCTTGTCATTTACTGAGTCGCATTGAGTGTCACTATCTAAAGGATATTCATACTTCTTCCAGAACATCATAAATAAGATTACAACCCTCAAAAACTTCAACAAAGGAACATTCATGATGCCACAAATATTTGAGCTTTTCCGGAATACTTTAGGATTTACACGGACTATAAAAAACGGATAAAGCTCTCAGCGTTGAGCAATCCCTCTGGGATGTGTCATGCATTCCACTTCACCAAACATCGTTTGGAAGTGATTCAATGCAAACCTGGCCTTTACATTGACTTGTGGTGGCCTACCGATGTATGGAGCCAGTGCTGCTATCGTCGCACACAAGTCTGGTACCAATTTGTAGACCCAGAAGGAATGGAAGGCTTCGTGGGCCATGGGTGAGGGGAACGATTCCACGTGTGTTGCAGGGCGCCTTCGACCACTGCGCCACACGGACTATAGGATGTTTTATAGTGTTCATTTTCACTGTTTGAAGAAATCGAAAACAAAAAAAACTCGTTTCCCTGATTCGCTTTAGGATTTTAGGCACACACATCGAACCTCGTTCAGAATTAGAAACATTGTAATCGTCCAACATCTCCTCGAAATCAGACGGAATATTTTCCAGGTTCTCTTCCAGACTATCCATATCTACAGGAAAAACCATTCAGGTGTGGCATATAAGAAAAAGTAAAATGTAGACTTCGGTAGGACAGGAACCTACTCTAGAACAGTACACACAAAAGGACCACTAGTAACTGCCGTGAAAAGCGAACAAAACTGGAAACTTACTCATAGAGCGTGGTGTCCGTAGTTACGGACCAATTGCTCTTGTCGATTTTTCGCACTTTTTTGAGGAAATCTGTTCCATTTGTGCTTCGTTTTCAAAGAACTGCTTACGATTTCTGTAATAGAGATCTGTTACTGAGAAGTCACGAAGTAGTTCATACTTAATCCAAACGTTCTTTGAAGAAGACCTTTTCCGCCTCAATGCGTTGGTTTCGTCATGATTGTCGTAGGAAATCCACTGAAAGAAAACATATATGTGATAGATTTTAGGCCTATGTTCGTTGCGAGACGAAGGGCTCGCGTGGTCTGGCGAGCGCGCTAGCCCCGGAAAGGGTAGTATCGTGTTCGATCTCCACCGCAGACACCTGCTATGTGGAATTTTGCAAATATCTCAGCATCACTGTGGTTGTATAAGCCTCATTATTTAGAGGAGGAGAACCGGAATCACAACGTAGTAACTTTTTATTTATTCCCTATTCTTTTTTAACGGTAGAGTGTTGTGTGAACTATAACCATAATGATGCTGAGATAATTCCCAAGACTGACTTTCTGTTAACCTCGGCATTAATTGATAATTCAATGTTTTTCATCAATAAGCAGACACGAGGATAATGCTGAGATAATTGCAAATTCCGGACCGGTGGGAATCGAACCCGATATTACCTTTTCTGGGGTCTAAAGCGTGCACTACAACACCGTGCGGGTTCTTGGTTTCGCCTTTCTCTCAGCTGTGTTGTTGACCGAATAGTGCTATCAGCAATCACCCGTCAGCGGGATTGATCTGAGGAGCATAAATCGACACGGAACCGAGTTAATTTCAAGCTGTGGTGTAAATTACAATGCAGTGACTTTTTATCTACCGCCTATTCTTCCGCAAAAAAACTGTAATTTTTAATAAATTTCTGATCAGAACGTAACTAGTTGACGACCGAGGTGCATTGATTACAATGCGAACTATGCAAAACAATTACCCACTTCCAAAGTTAAACCAAAATATCTCAAAAGGATAAAAGGATAAAGCTGTCGGCGTCGATCAGTCCTTGAGGGATACGACATGCATTCGACTTCATTAAGTAACGTTGGAGGTGATTGAGGAAAATCTCTTCTATAAATTGGTTTTGTCCTGAATTCCTCTTGGGAGACTTTCTTGGGATCCATTTGATTTTATTAGCTGCCCATGTCTTTGCACGTTTTTTCCAATATCGATAATATTTCTAGTAAAACAACAGTTGTTTTGAGAAAAACGTCCACAGTACAGATTATTTCAACGAGTGGAACTGTAGCGGCGAGAGTACACAGGCCGGTCATCCACTATGTGACACGCCCCAATATTTTCCAATGGCTTCTCCAAATTGTATATTTTGGTCAACAGGACACTCCTGGGTTCTTCTCAGTGTTGTATAAATGTTTGTCTGTTTGTCCGTTTCGTTCTGAAGATTTGTTCCCGAACTGAAGAATGTTTTAATAACTCAGAAGACCGACTTTCTACAAACCTCAGCATAAAAAGTCCACATATTTGTTAATACGTTCTTGTGAGGTGATCTTGTTGAGCTGATGCGAGGTTGATATAGCCGTTCATGTTGTTGTTGTTGTAGTGATGGTGGTGGACAACAAAACCAATGACAACTATACCAACCATCATCATCAGCATCATCTCAACAAAATCAGTTCATAAGAACATATAAATAGATGCGAAGAATGTTTTCCTATGGCAAGAAACTTCTACAACTTCGAAAGCTGATCGGAACAAAAATGATGAAGAACCAATAAGACTTAAGTTAAGCAGCAGTATCTATGGTTTTAAGTAGAGTATTTCTACTTTGGTACATACTGTGATTGTAATCGATAACAAGTAGAAGCCATTCAACTTGCTTCAGTTTGCTCTGTGTCAATGACTGAGTGCATTCACTTGCAAGCGAGAAATTTTCTTAATGGAAAGTTAGTTGGGTTGCTGTTATGATGGCGAAGGAAGGTCCATGTGTGAAAGAAGACGAAACATAATTCTCTGATGGAAATAGAACAAGATGAAATTGCCATTCTTGTATAGTCTTGCACTTTGTCAAAAATAGCAACACATTCAAGCTAAGCTGTACAGAAAGTGCTGCTGGGTGGCAAGGTTGAATGGACTTCTATTGTTCATCCTCTAGCAAAAACAATATCCAACTGCCTATTAAACTAATTCGCAAGATTCTTGCTGGGAACCTGTAAGTATGGTCCAGTTTTAGCTGTTATCCACGAAATCTACAGTGTGTAAATAAGGCGATCCTGTTCAGAAAACGTTGTTGGAATCTTAGTTTATCAGCTATGTGATGGGAGACATCGTCGTCTCTCGCGTGCGAAGTCCTTTCTGCGGAAGATTCCCATCGGAAGTGCGACAGTGTAGACGAACTCATTGACCCAAAGATCCCTAAGATCCCTAACAGTGCTCAGAAATTACGCTCTGAATCGATTATTGTCATGAAAAAATTTTTTGACTACCTTAATGTTTAATGCTAGGTGAACTATCACTCCTTTATTTAGTTCTTGAATGGTTTCCTTTTCTGATAGTTGTTCAGCATGCGGTAGAAGTCCCTTGTCGGTTTTCATTTAAGAGACTTTTCTCTTCGTTACCTAAAAAAGTTCATTTTTGATTCTCTACTCAATTCCAACACAGTGTAGAAGTCTCGTTATCCGATGTTTATGGCTTCGATACGAATAGCTGTAGAATTAGGAATTGGTGGAGTTATACTTATGGGTTATCTTAATAACACTTTCTAGTTTCCCTCAAGCACTCTCTTAAATCATCCAGGCGTTTGGAATAAGCTTTTGCTGAAGTGGTGGTGCAGTATTTTCTTCTTCTATGTGAGATACACTTTCATTTCGAATGACTCGGAGACACTAAGACGATAAATGAAAAACGTTTCGCTTGATTGGAACGAAGACCGTCTCACCATAGAAGAACGACGGAAAAGAAAAAGTAGTAGTTTACGCGTTCCTCAGTTCAAGGAACTTTCAAAGGCTGTAACCGGTATAGTGCATATCTCCGATCAATCCTGATAAAGCAACATTGGCGAAAAGTGTTAGACTACTTTTATGGTCTATTCTTGCTACAGAATTCTAGAAGTCGAAAGTAATTTCGTTAGGAATTGGCGTCACCGGACGAGAAAGAACGTATGATAGTTTTTTCATGGGCAAAACCGAACGACTTGAACAGATCTGTAAGTGCGATTATCGCCCTAGATTAATCCGACACTTATAGCCACTAATCTTTATAATCATTAGAATAACTAGAAATGGATATAGTATACCTCGTTCGTCATGGCAACAAGACAGCTTGAAGGGCTGCGCTTTCTTAGGGTAACCGAAGTGCACCAGACCTCGTGGTGATGAAGAAGCCACTGGTGCTTTATCTTGGCGTAGGAACATTCCTGTCTTCCGGATGGAAGTGTCGAACTCCTTTTCAGGACGGACGACGTTGCTCAGTGGATGGACGTTTAGATGTAGATCGTAGTTGAATACTCGTTAGTCACAGTTAGGCGGCGAAAGAATGAGTGGAAGATTGAAAGTGAAGACCTTCCTTTTTATTTGCTACCTGTGACGGTCAAAAGTGTAAAAACCACGAATATCATTGTTACTGTTGCATCAGTCACGCTATTTGAAGTTGTATGATTTCGTAAGAAATGAAGAGAATACAAAAACTTGCTCCTTCTTTTCGAGAGCTGGCGAGGTGTTTGCATGATCGACGTTTTGCGATTTCATGCCAGAAATGTCAAAGTTCATCAAATGACAGTCAATGAACAATAGTTGAAGTTGGTCAGCACTGAGAGATGATGTTGTGCATGAAGCTTGAGAGTTGTTTTTTTAACGAGGAATATTGAGGCCTTATCAGTGACGATATGAAAGAAGTGAAGTTCAAGAACGGGATATTTGCGGAACTTTACAATATTTGAATAGCTCGAGACCAATGTACAACTTTTTGTTTACTACCTATTAATTTTTCATGGTCTGGTGTTTTGTTGAACACAACCACAATGATGCTGAAATGATGATGACATGAGCGAAATTCTAGACCGCAGGTAAGCTTCGGACCAGGAATTATCCTTTCCGAGGCCCCATGTGTTATCCACTACTGATGCCCTTGTGATGCCTTTTTCTCAGCCAGTTTTTAACCCTGACGGTGCCATCAGCAGTCATTCATCAACGGTGATGGTCTAGGAAGCACAAATCGCATTGAACTCAGTTAAGCTGAGCCTGCAGTCGAAACTACAGTGTACAATTCTTTATTTGTTGGGTATTGTTTCTTTTTTCATGGCGTAGTATTATGTTAAATACAAGCACAATGGTGCTGCCCTGGTGTCTGAGTTTGGCAAATTCGAGATCACTTGTAACAGCAATTCTCAGCAAACTGATACGCCGCTTGAAATTTTACTACTTCTAAAGAATACTTCGTTTTTTGTAAAAGAGGGCTTTGAAAAGAGTATTTGAAGCTGAAGGGAAGAATAAGGCGGTTCTTTATAGGTCTTCTCTACCGCCCATTTCATTGATGTGTTTCTTGGGGAGCAAAGGAGAACGTGGTCTGAAGTGAATGGGATATCATGGTACTTCGATGGACATCATTAACATACCTGGCACTTGATACTTGAACGCCCGTCCTCACTGGTTGGGGGGGGGGGGNGGGGGGGGGGGGGGTGACCCAGCATAGTCTCCATTTTCGGAGACTTGCTGGTAAGGCCATTGTGGTTTCCTGGAATCTCTAGGTCGATCTGGCTACAGTCTGACCCGGTCTTTACCACCACAGGAACTCTCAGCTTTTGTGGATCAGAGGGTGGTTTCCCACCATGCGACTTTGCTACTAGGATTGTGGTGGATCCTCGTATTGGTTTACTCTTAGTTAGACTGCCTGATGGAAATGCCGGGCTCCTTCTCAGCTTGGGAGATGCCAGGAAGATGAATCCCACCTCTGCATATCTCAACCCGATACCCAGGAACAGCTCCCAGCCACGATGAAGCGATAAACCGGTGGGAGATCATTAACATATCCTTCTGTCTGTTAATTCGGGTAGTCAATTAAATGAAGAAGAGGTTCACAAATTTGCTGGTATTAACATTCATTCATGCTTTCTGATCCTTTCGTAGAACATCATCAATGGCAATTAGTTACCTGTAATTTCGTTGGGTGGCTTCTTATGTTCTCATTAGTTGACGTTTTGGAATCGGAATGAAAATTGAAAATGAGACGAGAAACCGTCAAACTGCTTAGGCGATTGTTGATTTGGCTGTAAATCTATCTGTGTAAAAATTTGACGAAGGCGGAGCGTACTGTTATGGTATGGCGGTCTCATTGTGCTTTTGGTGTCATGGTAAAAAAAAAAAAACGAAAACGAAAAATACGTCTAACCGAACCCAAATCATTTGTGAAGGTGAATCGAAACGCTGTAAAGTGACAACAAAACAACGCCTATATAACGTCGTCATCGTTGTGTTACCAGTTGTTTGTCGTCGTCGCCGTCTTCATCGCTACAACAACATAGCGACGTAGCGGTCATTAGTGTGCTCTGTAAGTTACGCTTTTGCTCTTCTATTTTTTTTCAAAATTTCTTTCAGTTATACCTATTTCAATGAAGCGTGCGTGTAACACAGTAATTAGGAATGCCCTACAATACACACGTGGTCGTTTACTCGTTCGAGCCGCACGAGCTAACCCGGGCAGCATCCTGCCGGGGTCGGTAAACTGGTACCAGAGTTACTTGGTGGAAATAAAGAACACTGACGTGATAGATTGTCTTGCATTTCCAAGCCATTCGAGATGCTAAAAGTGCATTCAGTTATATGCACGTGCTTAACATGGAACACCTTAGAACAAGCTAATTCTTAGACGCAAACTGACAGTAATTCTGAATTTTTGTCCACTAAAATATGGATCTGGTGTGGAGCAGTAGTCGGAGGCGCCCTACGACATACACATGGGATCGATTTCCGCGCTAGTGGATCACCAAGCCCACCATTCTTCTGGGGTCGGTAAATTGAGGTCGAAAACATGGCGCACCCCTCAGAGATTGTTCAATGACGAGAGCTTCGACCCTTCATCGTTTTAAAATATATGAGGTCATCACTACACAGACTTAAAAAAGGCGTTCTTCTCTCTCGGTCTAAACCTACATCCAACTTTTATAGAGTACTTTTTTAAAATTTGAACACGCTGAGAAGTAGGATTCTCGCGAAATTGAAAACGGTACTCGATTTCTTAAAACTTTTAGGGCTAGGGTAATCGAAAACAACAGCGATACATTGTGGAACACCATGGTGTTTTTGCTAACAATATCCCATTTATTCAATTGTTCTCGCGCTCAAAATGTGGGCCTTAAAGCACAAATGTTGGAATGACGAGGCTTTTTGTTTCTTGGATTCCGGATGAGTAGAATTTTCTACGATTTTCGTCTTGTAAAGAAGATCTGCGGACCCCAAATGCTTTTTGTTCCAATGGAACCTAGTGCGAGCTAAAATGTGTTGGGTGAAATTAATCGTATTTTCGGTGCATGTCGTGCGCTGTGTTAATGGAGTCGATGGGGCATGGCACTTCTCAAAGAGGTAGACAAACTCCAATGTTCAGTGAGCTATTCATAAGTCGAGAAATTCCAAGTTATACAGTTATAGCATTAATTAATTATTTGCTGTGAACTGGAGTAAAAGGTTCAAAAACTCCGTAATTGTTTTATTTCTGTTTCAGAAAATGGGCGCAACTTCAGTCGCCGCCGGCATTGCCGGTTTCACTGCTGTCGTCACCACCTTCAGCATCATTATTGTTGTCTATCTAGTGAATGACATTAACACCTTCTATGATGATGCTATTGAAAACCTTGTCAACTTTAAAGTAAGTTCAATGTATTCGAAAAAGCTTCCTCATGGTACATATGCTTTATAGGACATGGCTAACTCGGTATGGTACGAAATGAAACCGGCTCCAGCAGAGACACTACGTCATTATCGGTCGATCGCACGTTCACGTCGTCAATTCCCACCAGAGTGTAACTGCGGACTGCAAGCACTGGACTGTCCGGCCGGACCACCTGGCATGCCTGGAGCGAGAGGATCTCCTGGAGAAGATGGCGTACCAGGAAGACCAGGAGCAGACGGCCATGATGGAATTGCTGTATCGCCCGAGGAAGAAGGAAGGGGTGGATGTATTCGATGTCCAGTTGGCCCACCAGGACCACCTGGTCTGGACGGACCTATTGGTTTGCCAGGTCCTCCTGGAGAGCCGGGGCTGGGCATGGCGCCAACAGGAGAAGGGCCTCCTGGACTTCCTGGACCGCCTGGAGATCCTGGAGTACCTGGATTACCAGGAGAACCTGGTCCACCTGGCAAACCTGGAGCCGACACACAGTTTGGAGTGGGACCACGAGGACCGCCAGGACCTCCTGGACCACCTGGTCCAGCTGGGCCACCTGGTCGCGATGGAGACACTGTAGGTAGGGCATTGCCCGGCCTACCCGGGCCCCCTGGTGCACCGGGTACTCCTGGAGTACCTGGACCGGATGGACCTCCTGGAGCGCCAGGAATAGAGGGAACGCCTGGAAGTGACGCAGCATATTGTCCATGCCCACCAAGAACTGCAATATATTCAAGAGTGAGAAGTTCGGCGGTGAAAGGATTTTCGCTCAGGCATGGCTTAGCTAAATATCGCGCCAGTTCAAGAGCTCGAGTAGCACGAAAATCGGCGAGGAGTGCAACCAAGAAGGAACGTCGTCGTCAGGATCATAATGCTAACTGATTTCTTCATACACGTCTAAATAAACGTACAAGAAGCACTAAATTGTTTCCGATGTGGAATTTTTCTACAGTGTATTTTGTTTAAAATGTAGTTTCAGAAAAAAATGAGCCTCGAATATAAGCTCGGATTTCTTGTGGAATTTGTTCATGAATTTTCATTAGCAACCACAATAGCCGACTACTGTCCATACGATGAGCGGTAGATGGATATTTCAGCAATGAGAAGTATACTAGAGATTTTTTATGACAGTGACATTTGCTAACTATATATCACCTGGAAGAAATATTATGTTAAACGCAGAAATCACAAATACGCGCCAATCGTGAGAAATCTCATCGTTTCCGTTCCAGTATTTATAGCACGAAAAATGATCATCCGGGATGAAAATTGGTGTGTAGGAGTGGAAATCTGCGCCTGAGTTCCCTACGAAATACCCATACCAAGCACAGTTTTTGCATTCCCGTTATTAGCAACTGTCTTTGTGTCAATCTATCTGTAAAGTAAACAACTAAACACGGCAAGACTCATTTAATTTGCATGTATTTGTGAAGTAAAGAAGTGAGAATAATCTGGAGGTAAGCGCATTGAGATCGATGCACTTAGCCGAGGATGTGTTAGCAGATCCAATGGGTGTGTTAGACTAGTAGAAGACCGCATAAGAGCTTCACAACACAGTGCAATAATCAGGGACCTGGTCACACTCATATTTGCATGATCGGTGCTTTGATTAGTAACATTGGTCGTCTAAACGCGTTGTTCCTCAACTTGAACGATTAGGCAAACCTTGCAAGTCAAATCGGAATGGCGTATCCCACAGTGGCTACTCAAATGCATTTCTGAACGGAAACTTCTTGAAAAAACACAACAAAACAATATCTATCGATCAAATTCGTTTAGATTATTCTTTGTCTTATATTCGAGCTTTCCACATTTGCAAAAATTAATACTTTAAATAAATGCTTTAGTAATTATGAATTTCAACACCCAGCACAACTCTTTTATCCTTCAGGGATGCACCTACACCTATCAGTACACGTAGTCGGCTCTACCTAACCTGCAAGTTGGAGAGACACGAAGAAATTACGCTTTTCATTCGTGGTCTTCCTGAAGAAGTAAATCTGTCTATCGGGTCGCTGATAATTCAGGATTTGATGAACTCGAGAAACGGAATAAAATTGCTCACCTGCACATTGGATCAATATTAGCCAATATCAGTCTTCATCCTACAGTGGCCCATATATGGCGAGTTGTATACAAAAGCCATAAGCGAATCCAGTGCAAATGGGAAAAATAGCTCATCTTCTGAAATCGCCCGTGCTCTCAGAAAGTTTGACATTGTTGCTTTCGTTCCACTATCTAGCACCTGTGTAGCAATGTGATAAAGCGCCACGTAGCCTTGCAACTAACGAATTTGCAACCATTTAATGAGGGAGACCAACACAAAGAAGAATAATCAGTTAAAAATGGGAAGAAAACATTATGAAAGCTTACCGGTAAAAGATTGCTGCCTAGACAATAAACACGCATTTAAGATTTTCTACTTATGCTTCATGCTACTGCTCCCGTCAATCGCACCCATGTCCTGCACCAGCCAGAAGCTGTTTTGACCCTATCCCAGGTCCACTAATCCTTTCATCCCTCCAGACACAGGAAATTGTTAGCAAACTTGTCCGGTACGAGCTCATTTGCTCTAATTCACGCCAGGACGCCACAGCACACGCAAAAAATAGTTCAAAAAACTTTGTGAATGGTGGATGCCAGGAAACGAATCGAATGCAAGAAGTGAAGAGATCCGCACAGCGTTGAGGATTTCGTTCTGTGTTAGACCTTTTACGAGCCCAAAGCGATAGTGAAGTGAAGCGATGACGTTTTCTGCTTCCAGAAGTAAAGGAACAGCTACGGGCAAACGGGTACTACAACGGAAACAATTATATACATTATACATGTAAGTGCTATAACTCATTAAACATCGAGCAGCTCGAGTCACCAGCATTGATGCCGCCAGTGGATTCTGTCGAGAGCGAGAGATCCTCAACTCACTCAAGAGAGACAAAACGACTATAGGTTTCATCCAAAATCATGTCTAGACGTCTACCAGTGTAGTGTGATCTTCTCGCTGTGAGCATGGTGCTTTTGCTGGCACCCAGGCTTTTGTTCACCAGCTGCCGTTGCGATGGATCACTGGGCCCTGTGCTCCTTATTTGCAGCATCCTTGCTTGTGGCATCTGTTTCTGATCTTCGACTAAGTTTGTAGTTTTCCCTTTACCACTTTCAGGATACTCATTCCACAATCCTTGTACAGTGCTAACTGCTGCACCATCCAATTTTTCTAGCGACTAAGCTTTTCATTTTCTGGAAAATTCGCTAAACCGAAAAAATTCGTGGATGTTAAGTATGTGCCTAATTGGGTAATTTTTTCTTGTTCACCACATTTTTGATGTCGTCAGTTCTCTCGATTCCTTCTACTCATTGCTTGGGCTTATAAGACCCTCATTGATTTTCCACAATTATAGTAATTAGTTAGTGGTGCGCGTGTGGTGCAGTGGTTGGAGGCGCCACTGCGACACACACGCGGTGTCGGTGTTCGCGCCCATGGCCCACCAAGCTTTCCATCCCTCCGGGGTCGGCAAAATGGTACCAGACTTGTCTGGGAGAATAGCAGCACTGGCTCGATACATCGGTAGGCCATCGCGAGTCATTGTAAAGGCCAGGTATGCATTCAGTCACCTCCAATGATGCTTAATGAAGTCGAATGCATGGCGCATCTCTCAGAGATTTATCAACAGCGATAGCTTTATCCTTTATCCTTTTATAGTAATTAGTAAATAAATCGTAAATAAATAATCTTCCCAAAAATACAATAAATAGATGGGCCATTTGAAGATATTCACAACACCTAGTATAAAGATTGCCTCCCAATGGTAAACCGAAAACTGTTGTTTCAGAAAAGGGCTGTCGAACTGGCTAGGACTTCTTATTATAGGAAACGACGTCACGAGATGTCAAAATTATGACCCTACTCGCCATAAAGGTTACTGATACGTTGTGTAGAGTTGGAAGAATTTTGAGAGATGATTTCATTTTCTCGAACCTTCTTTTTACGATGATGGCAAAGGCATTGTAAAATGGTGATATTCTGATATAATGACTCGTGGGCACCTTGGCTGACCAGACAATTCGTGACAGCTTCTGTTTCATCTGAGGCGAAGGCTTTTCTGGACTGTTAAAAGTGAGGCAAGGAGGTATTTTCTACTTACTCGACACTAATATTTGTTACCGTATGAATGTGGTCTACTGTGAATGTGGATTTGCTGTCCATTCGCAAATCGCTGCTAGTTCGCATAGCTGTACATTGTTCGCGGCGTCTTATCAATCCTGCTGAGGCCGACTAGAGTGAAGAGCCTGTAGACGGCAAGCAAGAGGGCGATTCGGCAGAAATCGTCAATGTTGTGTAGGCCTTGTTTTCTCACAACGAATATAGAGCGATCTCAATAATGTTGAGAAGGCTCGTTATCGCGCGCCGAAATGCGGCAATTATTAAAATGATCACAATTGATGGAACATTGAGGAGAAGTCGGAAAAGGAAAAACAAACAAAGCGATTCTGACGTGAGACAACCCTATCTTGTGTCGGGTTGATGTCTAAGTAAATGACAACAATATTCACGGAAGACGTTGGGGCAAGACGAAAGATATGGAATCGTGTCCAAGTCAGTTCTATGTTTGTCGCTGCAGCCTCTCCACAACCCTTTTTTTCCGTGAGAAGAGACTTGGTAGAGAACCACGCAATAAATCTGGTTTCCACCTCCAGGAACACTTCATCGCAACTGCAGTGTAATAGCATATCATGGACCGCTAGCTATGACAGGTAACATTAGAAAATTTGAACATCAACGCTTTGGAATTATGTGGATAAGCAAAATTATTTGCAGAATCGCTAAAATAGCCCATGACTTCCGAAATGAAGCAAAGACGAAGCCTAATGAATACTTCATCTACACGTTTCTTCTTCACATTTTTTCATGTTTGTTCTTGTCTTCCTCCTGTTCTTCTATTTCATTCCCATTGATTTCGGTAACTTTTGTCTTTTTGTGAAATGAATGATGAGAGGAGCTGTAGGGCAGTGCAGTACCATTTAAACGCTTTTACTGTAACTGAATAGCCTGGTTAAGCTGTAATAAGAGATTTTGTTGAATGTGTTCTTCCGTCCTCAGAGAAAACAATCAGCCGTACCAATGCAATTAGTTTCCGATGTATTAATATTCTTCTATATAGTGTTCTTTTAAGAAACATGAAGACGATGTTAGTAGTTTAATTGACACAAATCAGAAAACGTGTTTTATTTCTGGACATGAGACAACAAGCTTGCGTTTTGAAACTTCTGAAAGAAGATTTATCAAGAAGAACCTGTCCCAGTTCTTCTCAACAAAAGCGTAGGACCCAAACTAAAGAGTGAATCCCTCACACTCCCTCGCTTTCCGTCTACCTCTATATCGCAGCCAGATTGTATGTTTAATTAATGTGAAGCTCTGCGGTCGCAGAAAAAGATCATGCTTTCGCTACGTTTAAGTGCCGAACGAAGGAATGAATCAGGGAAGCAAAAGTGAAAAGCATAAGACAGGAAGCTTGATTCACCGTATGACAAAAAGAACACAAACTTCTTGAAATGACATCGGTTTTAAAATAATCATCAAATTACTCTAGTTCCCATTCCTTCTATAAAAGAGTGGATTCTCTTTCATTCATATTACACTAACTCGCATTTGCTCGCGATAAGTAGGCGCTTATTTCATTGAGATTTCCTTCCTTTCTTCTTCTCTTTCACTACTCATATTCATTGCGAAAGTTATTAAACTGTTTCCAGCACATACTGGCGATAGCTTCCGACTGACAGCATGTAGGTAGTAATGCAGATCTGTTTGTTGTCGTGATACATTGTCCTCTTCCTTATGAATGTCGTTGAATGTTGATTGAGCCGATTCTCCGTGAAATCGTGAGATAACCGTGCTATCGCGTTCTCATATAAATTAGAGATAAACGGCTTTTCCTATAAAAAGCTGATATCCATTTTCCTACCGCGAAGAGATGAGTGGTTTGATGAGCCTGCAGCGGGGTCGAACCAGTATTTGGACAGGCTGGATACCGCCCACGTAATGGACGGAATCACTACCGTTGCGCTACGGGCTCCCAAAGAATGGACAAACACGTAGAAAATCATGAAAACCGACCGAAACCGAAAAACGTTAAAAGTGATTGCATAAAACTTTAGTATAAATCGAGATTTCCTTACCTTTGCTACGAGATAAAGGTAAGAACTTCTCGTTTTTTACACCTCAAGCAACTCCTTTTTAGATGTCCCGACATCACATATAGTATTCGGATACTAACAGTTTTTGCATTCGATTCGGGTCCTCGCATCCAACAAGCACTAAGGCCTTCCGAATTTGCGCATAGGTTTGGCTGTCATTTACTGACTTTGTTTTCTTTACGAATGTCGTTGAGTTCCGTTCGAGATGGCGTCTCCTGAAAACAAGGGATAATCCAGAGATAGCTCTATTACAATCGCTCCTTGGTCTTCTCCACACACAGCTGTCCGCCTCGTTGATCAGAAGATGCCAACTCTGGTTTGTATTTGTCGAGCGCAGAGAGGCTGCTAGGTCGCTTGGTCTGGGGCTGGGTCGAGCCACAACCTTGCATGGGTTATTGAACGCAGCATCTCTAATGTTGAGCTACCCGCACGTCTTTCAAGCGTATATCGTTGACATATTTGGCAAGCAATCGCTGGAATGACTAGTCCTGCGAATAAACTGCTGAAAATTGCAGCTATGTCGCTACGCTAGAAAAAAAAAACTTGAGTCATTTTCTACCGTTCGGTAAATGATTTTATTTATTTAAGAGTTGGAATGCGTACGACAAGAGCAGCCTATGTCGTAACCGTCGCCACAGTCATCATTAACACACTATGCATGTTCGCAGCCAGTTATCTCTTACATGACAACAGCAACTTCTACGAGAAAACAATCGAGGAGTTGAACGAATTCATAGTAGGATTTTTTCCTGGTTTTTTTAAATCGCTGCTTGATCTTCAACATACGAGAATGCTTATTTTTAGGACGTAGCTAATTCTGCATGGTACGACATGAGGCTAGATGAAAATACTCGTAAATACAAACGACAGACACAGTTTGGCCAAATTCCTCAATTGCCAGTGCTCAGGCCTCCGTGCGACTGTGGCGCACAGCCGAATTACTGCCCTGCGAGACCCCCTGGCCCACCGAGATTGATGGAAATACCAGGAGACGACGGAATCCCAGAACAACCTGAAAAACGAAGAAATGACGGCATAAAAATCTCGAAAATGTGAGGAGCAGGAGGATGCGTGATGTGTCTCCCTGCTCCTCAAGGGCTGCCTGGCTTGAACGGACCGAGCGACCTGCCAGGCAATACAGGAGAATCTGGAAAGCCAGGAAAAGCTGGAAATAGAGGTTTACCTGGCTCGATCAAATCGGTGGGCGATTCTGGACAGCCTGGTTTGCAAGGGATACAAGGACCCCTGGTAAGCCTGGAGAGCCAGCGCAACGTGGGGTTGCAACACCAGAACCGATGGGAGCAATGGGCCCACCGGATCCACCTGGTGAGCCAGGAGTGGACGGCGCTATTTATTGGGCCTGGTGGAATACCAGGACCGATGGGACCACCAGGACTGCCTGGAATTCCAGGATACGATGGGCCATACGGTGCCCCTGGAGAAATAGGAAAAGGCGCCCCCAGATTTAAAGCCGCATACTGCCCGTGTCCTGCACGAAGTCGCAGATTTGCTAGCCAAATACAAAAGTACCAAAATGTCAGTAACATTGTCATAAGCGCTCTAAATAATTTAATCGAAATGTCACATCACCAGGTTTACAAAAAACAAAGAACAAGAAAAGTGTTGAGAAAAGGGATAGAAAAGACGACGAAATTTCGTGAAGAAAACAGAGTTAATCATAACAGACGATGATCTCCAAATATTGCCGATAAGCTCTGTAGATTTTTCATTGTAATTCGTTCCAACAAGCTTTGGCAATTATTTACATTACTGTGGTTTAAAGAAACATTTTTCAAATACTGTTAATTCAACTTAATTTCGGCACGAATAATCAATATATCTCTGCAAGTTGCTCAGCATACACAGGGTGGTTATTTAAGCTTTATTCGGATGATCTTTCGACTCCTTCGTTCTCCTCAATGTTGATGATCTAAGACGATGTCCATAGTCGTTCGTGCTTTCGATGTGGTGACTTCGTCGTAGCATCGAGCCGAATCCTCTTCAGTGGAACATCGCTCAAGTGGGGTACGGTAGAAGAAGGAAGACGAAAGCGTCGAAATATTGGCTGATAAAAACTTATGCAACAACCCCCTATACGCTTAACAATTCAAAAAGCCATATTTTTCAAATAGTTCACCACCTCCACCGACAATAATGCCCACCTAAACGAATATCGCAGACAGAGCAGATATGGTAAGAGATAAATGGGTATCTTATCAGAAACCATAATAAAATGACAGTTTTAACTTATAATCTTTCATTATATATTGAGAGACAAGCAGAAGGAAGGACGCGCATGGTGTGGTGGTGAACGCGTTAGCCACAGGAAAGGGTAATTGCGCGTTCGTTCCCCACCGCAGACACCTGCGATCCAAGTTTTGCAAATATCTCAACATCACTGAAGATAATAAAATGCCTCTACAAACCAGTTCAGAGCCCATGGAATGCTGCGGAAAAAAAATAGAAAGTTGAAAGATGTGCAGAAAAATGCACATTTATTTCACCCTTACATACTTAAATGACCCGTTCTCCAAGCACGTTTTGTAGGATCCAATACCTCTTCCTATCGGTCCGTTGTATCGGATGTGCATTTCAGGAGGTGGTCAGACAGGTTTGTGGGCTCGCCTGCAGCTCTAGGAACTGTCAACTGCTCTCCTCCTTGAAATGTTCCATGCTAATCGAAAGCAGCTTTCAATGAAATAGCAGCTAGCTGTAGTGGAGCTTCCCTTGATTCTCAGCATAGCCGTTTTCTAGCTTGCGACCCAGACTTTTTTAGGACCACAGCGATCTCTGCAATTGATCAATCGAATAAACTGACGACCATGTAGCAGACCAAATCCACTTTACACATCCTAGCTGGTAAAAATTACATAGAAAACTCTTTATTTTAGTTGAGAGACAGACGAAACGAATGACCCGCATGGTGTGGTGGCGAACGCGTTAGCCCTCCGAAAGCGCGTTCGTTCCCCACGGCAGACACCTGCGGGCCGGAGTTTTGCAAATATCTCAACATCATTGAAGATATATAGAAAACTGATGGTTGTTACAAACCATAAACGAAGAATGTCCGTACTTTTCAACCAATAGATAAACAGTACTACGACATAAAATGCAACCTCAATGATGCTGAGAATGAGCAAAACTCGATGATTGCAATGACTGCTGATGGCACTGTTAGTCCGTATGAAGTGCTGAGATATTTGCAAAACTCCGGACCACAGGTGTATGCAGTGGGGAACGAACACGCGCTGTTGTCCTTACCGGGGAGCAGCGCACTTCACCACTACACCATCCGGGTCCTTCGCTTTGCATGTATCTCAGCTAATTCTATGATATTGGCTCCCCAGATCAATCCCGTTGACGGGTGATTGCTGATGGCAAAAAGATCGATAGAACTAGCTGAGATACATG